GGGAATTTGCAGTAACTGCAGTGAAAGGCTTTTGGGGATATAGATACAGATCTGTAGAAAAACAGGCTTGCCTAATTCTTTTAAATTGCTGCATCTTTATTCCCTTCACTGTGAAGCGCTACTCTGTTTGGATTTGTCACAGCAGTTTTAATAATTAACTACAGTAGAACTTGTTTGAGATGAGCTTATCTGAACTCAGATTAATCTCACTGTTTCCTTGTTCCTGTGTTTCCTCCCATTTGCTGCTTCTGTTGTTTCTCATTTTGCTGTGGTATATTTCTGTGGGCTGAGTGCTTGCTGCAAATTCACTGTTGGATTTGTATTTTTTTGTTTGTTTGTTTCCATGGTAATGAACATGGCAAAAAGATTTCTTTATAAAATACAAAAAAATAGGCCAATCCAGGTTCAGCAAGAGCTTGTGTCTGCTTCTTTTTTAACTTAGTAAAGTGGTCCTGATGATGAAAGCTCATGATGTACTCTGACACTTCAGCAGTGGAAACTTCATTTGCAAGGATCTGGAAAAATCATAAGGCTCTGCTATTGTTAATTGGTTATGCATTTTAATTGAAAGTGTTCTGGTACTGTTATAGGATGGATCTACATGGGAGAGTAAAATGGAGATGCTGCTGACAATGGAAAAAGTACTAGAGATGACACTGCCAGTGGTTACGAAAGTGTAGAAGGCTGGCTCTATTTAGACTTTAAAGGTATCTGTGGTAAAGGAGCAAATCTGAAGATTTTCTTTCAGTTAATACATAAAGAATATTTATTTTGTTTTCTTATTATAAAACCAAGGTATTATGAAAAAATAAGAAAATGACAGTGCTGTAAGGAAAATTTTTCTTGCATCTGTGTGTGTTCTGCTGGATGGTTATCAGTTCCCATCTATCCATTCAAAATCTTTTATTGGTATCAAATAGTTCATGGTAACAATAAAAGCAATTGTTAATGTTAAATGTTGCTTCTTTATAATTTTACTTGTTCAAAGTATTGGAAACAAGTTAACTTACGGACTATTAGTAAGTACTAGGGAGATACAGACTTTGTAGCTGCTCTTTTCTCTAACACCTTGTTCCTTGTTTACAACAACAACATAACTTGCAACAACAGCACAACTTGCATTTTAGGAAGTAATACTATTTATCAAAATATTTTCAAACTAATCTAGGGGGCAGGGGAAGAAGAATTGGTGTAGTGCTAAAATCTGGATCTCACTCCACTCATAGCACTTTATTCAAACACCCACTCTTGTAAAACTAACAAACCACCCACGAAAAAAGTCAGTCCCAAAACTACCTATTAGAATGCCTTTGAATATTCAACAGTTCAAAAGCATTTTCAAATAACATATTTCGTTCAGTGTCATTTAAAGAGCTAAACTAATCTGTTTTCTTTCTTTTGTGGATATGTTTCATGCCAATATTTCCAGCTGTTTTCACCATTTCAAATCTGTGGTCTGAAACTTAAGCTACGTCTATTGTTTCACAAAGCTATGTGTACATGTCAAATTCAGTTAACTGTACTCTGTCAAGCTTTATGTTAAAAAGCCTCAGTCAAAAACAGACTTTAGAAATATTAAGAGTTTTAAGCAGATTGTTGTAATGTAGATTGGGTCTAGATGTACAGTGAGATACATACAGAAGACTTAGGAAGAGAATGTTTGTGTGCCTGAGTCAGTAAGAATTTTCCTCATAGATATTCTATAATTATTACTACAGGCACTTCCTGATAATGCTGAATTTAACTGAGTATCTTAGAGCAATATAGAAGTGTTCAAATTCTACACCTTAAATATGGATTTAAAATTTCATTTGTGGAACTGTTTAGCATATGGATAATACATAAACTAAGCTGGTCTTGAGCTGATACTTCTATTACATTGTTTTCCTCTGACATCATTGTCAGACTTGCAGAAGAGTACACTGTGACAATATGTCTAGGCTTAAACAATTACAGATAATTAGAGTGGTAAATGTCATGATTTACAAGTGTTAGTGAAATATGTTTTTAATTATTACTTTGCTTTGTGTCATATTCCATCCCTTGAAGCCAGCAATACCCTCAAGAAGCTCTAGCCCATTTATGGAACTTCTCCACTCCCTACTAATTATCTGTAATTAATACCTTGCTAAAAAGTTGGAATTGCTTAGTCTTGTAGTATCACTCATTACCCATATATTTAAAAATGCAACTTAATTCAAAGTACATTTTTTCACAGATAAATTTTTCTCTTTCATTCTGAGGCAAAATAACAAAATATATTTTCTTTTTTGAATCTGTTATTCACATTACTAGAAAATAGTTTATGTTCTACCAGAAAATTTTCCTTAAAAACAAAACAAAAAGGGGCAATGTTTTGGTAATGAATATTTGAAATTGGAAGTTACTAGGCCATTTCTGGGTGCAATTGGCAATTTATCTCTGGACCTCTTTGCTCTAAACATCACTCCATCTTACATATTTTGGAACTAGAGTTCCCTGTTCGTTTCTATTTTCTGTTGACCTTTTTTGTATCTTGATTATTTAAAGACTATAAATTATTTCTGTGTAATTAAAAAATATTCAGAATTGTCTTTTTGAAACCCGTTTTTACGTTAATATTCTGAAATAAGTCTTTCTTTTTGAGTTACTCCATCTTATTGTCTTTTTTTTTTTTTTTGTTACTTAAAGCACTTAAAAACTCCTGTAGAGAAGTGTAAGACTTAAATTACTTTTCTAAGTGGGCTGTGTAAAAGGATCTTCTTTTTGATTGCAGCTGTGTTAAATTAAAATGACAAAAATAACTAACTTTTATATCAAAGTGATATCTGTGATTTTTCTAAGATGTTTGTGTGTATTAGTGATACAATTCATATGCATAATGCTGGTGAATTCCTTGAATTTCACTGATACATTATAAAGCAAGAATAGAAGCTAAAGATTTTTGTCATCGTTTTTATTAAACTTCTTGAGGAAACTATATATAAAAAAAGGGCACGTTGTATTGCAGCACTCATTTAGATCTTCTTTAACCCACTTAGATTTTTGCATTCTTGACAATTTTGAATTCTTGAATCCTGGACGAGACTGTGAATTACTGAGCACAGTATCTGGACTGTCACATTTTATTTGAAGCATGAATTTGTAGACATGGTTAAATTTGACACAGTGTAAAGGTTATTTCAGATTTTCTGAAGGAAAGATTATGCATTACAGAGCTAATTGTCATTTTTTTAAGGAGTTAACCAGCACCTTGTTTGAGGTTGCTGAACCTGATAACAGCCCACTTGCATAATAAGATGTTTCACTGAGGCTTTTACTGAAGTCTAAGGAAACTGAACAGATTTGGATTAAGAGTAAGGATTTACCAGAGTAGATTGTTTGTTAGAAGACAAGAAACAAAGTAAAGTGTATGTCCAGTTTTCACAGCAGTAAATCACCAGTGAAGTTCTGTGAAGATCTGTGTTGGGACCTGTGTAGTTCATTTGTTTGTAAATAATTTGGAATGGGAAGTGGATATACCCATTTTTTATCCCTGGGTAGTAGAGATGAGGGCTAACTAAGAAAGTTTGTAGAAGGATGTTATGATAAAATTGATAGGTAAGTGTAGGTAAATGGAAAGCAAAAAGGTTGATCAAAGTTTTGAAGTAGCTTCCACAGATGAAATGACTGAATAGGTGTTGATCCCTTTATCTGTGAAAAGATGTGAGAAGAGATGTGGTGGAGCATTTTGAAGGGCTGAGAAAGTGGTTTTGCACTCCCTTTTCTGTCACAACAATAGGGCATGTCCTCAAAAGAGTGATGAATCAGATGCTCCCTCATGCAGGTGCTAAAAAAATACTGCTGTTCAAAAAGTGATTGGGTGAATTCAGGATTCCTCTAATTCACTGAGGACTGTTAAGGTACTCACTTCTGGTTCAAGGTGTCTCTCAGGGACTTCTTAATTTAAGGATTTTCTAAACCAAGATAATAGCTTTATATGAGGCCAAGGGAGTATTCTGGGAAAGTAAGAAGATGTGATTGTTTGACTATCTACTGTCAACCTCTACTAGAGACTGGATACTGGGCTAGGCAGCCTGTAGACCTACCGAATACATCCATTATTATTAAAGATCCTATCTTAAATTATCCTTCCTTGTTACATATAATCATGTAATCATCTATCTGGGAAGACTAGTAATTTAGCAATATGAAAATAGACTGGAACTTTATCTTAATTAAGCCAGTACATCTTGAGGTAGTCCTGTCTGATAAGGTCCCAGTTCCTGCTTTTGTACTTACCTATGCTTTGACTTGAGAGGCTCTGCTCCCTACTCAGTTTTCCATTAAGAGGATTCTTATGATCACTATCTATAGGAAGCCAAACTGCTTGGGAAGGGTGTGTTGAGAGAAGAATTCCTCTTCTACATGACTAGAAAGTAGGCTTTTTTTTTTTTTTTTAATCTGGAAGGCTTATGGAGCAGCATGAAACTTTTCCATTTTACGTGCAGATAACTGGAGAAAAATACAGAGGGAAATATATAAGGAATACAGACGTTCTTGGTTACTACCATCCTTTTTTTGATGCTGCAAAAACCAAACCAGACAAGGCATTTGAAGACACATGCTTCTACAATTTATTAACTTGTTGTCATATTCTAAAGTTTGTTACTAGAAGGTCAGTGATTTCTTTTGGTGAGGCATCAACCCCATCAAAAATTTTTTTTATACATGTAACTTCTTGTTGATTTAGTTAACAAAAAAAAAGTGTAGCAAGATACCCCTAATTGAATTATTTGTGGTTATAAAGTGTTCATTTACTTCTGTAACACCTTCCTGGATAGCTATAATTTAGCATAAGATTCTTGAAAGTGTTTTATTTCTGATCCATCCTGAACATACCTACCTCATACAGCATGTATTATTCTGGACAGGATTGGTAAAATATAAGGTTTAATTAATGAAAGAAAATTTGTTATTGCTTAAAAGTATGATTTCTTTAAGACTAATTAAGAATGTTTATTCTTTTTTATTTATTACAGTGTACAGACTATGACCTGGATTATGGAACTGAATGTTTGCATCTGGCTCTGAAATACTGTAAAACAAATGCCAAACTTGTTGAAGGAACAGCTGACCTCTGGAAGGTAAAGGCAATCATAATCTCTGGGGTTTATATATCTTTAAAAATAAATAGATTTTTACATTTTGCCATAAAAATTCAGAAGTGTTTTCAATTATAAAAGTTAGGCTTTTCTCTTTCAAATTTCAGAATTGTTTTGGGATTATCATGAGCTTTTTTTTTTTTTAGAACTCATTGTTGTGGACAGACTCTGGCAGATGTTACCTGAGATAATCAATGAAGACAGTATTTATCTGGAAGTAGGAAAACTGACTAGGTACTTAAATAACCTGAGAATCTGGAAAACTATAAATCCATAATCTCTAAAACTAAGAACAGTCTTTTATAAAATGAGCTTTCTCCTGATATTTCTATATCTTTTGTCTATTTTCCTCCACTTTTCCTCTGAGGACATTTCTTTTTCTCTGATGCCAAATACCTGGCTAACAGCAGTTTGATTTTTAGAGCAGTTCATTACATTCAATAACACTGTAATGTTTAAGGCTTCTTCAAACAATCTTTTAATTTTTTTTTAAACGTCATTTACCTTGTCTAATAATCTGTGGGTTCCTGATGACTGATAAAGCAGGTGTGTATACAGGTGCCAAAGGATATGTCCCTGCTGCTTAAAAGTATCTAATTTCATTGTTTTGTATGGTGGGACATTATTATTTCTCAGTAGCTGTTGTGTCATACAATTTTTAAGTTTTTTTTTTTAATTATTATTTATTCATTACCACATTGAAGGATCTGGAAGCAGCTTAAATCACTCCATCTGACAGTAAATTTCCCACAATGTGACATGATTTCTAATAATATGACAATAAATCTTACACAGAAAGGTAATTTCCTGAATCTGCAGTGCAAATTTCCTGTTTTATTTAGCAGCAAAATTTACTTATGCGCTGGTTGCATACAGCAACTTGTTTCAATATCTTTCAGGGAACATAGTCTTTCTGAAACAGTATATTGTCTCTTTTCATAATCAGTCGTCTAAGGGACAGATGATGTCATGCATATTTGTATTACATCACTTCTTGGATGGTTTCATTGTTCTCATTGCAGAGCATGGTACTCACTTGAATGGTAACAAAATACACACGTAAAGTTAGTTTAGTTCTTCATAGTGTTTTAGTTCTTTATTATCTGTAGATACTCTGATGCCCAGCATATGCAATGTAGTCTTTTGACCAAGAATGATAGAATAATTAAGACTGAAAGATATATCTAGATGCCAGCTGATCCAACACCTTGCTGAAAGTGGGGCCAGGTTATTTAGATTAGGCTGTGCAGGGCCCTGTCCAATTGAGTTTTGAATATCTCCAAGAATGGAGATTTCACAGACTCTCTGGGGAAAACAGTTCCAATGCATATCTCGCCATGTGGAGAAGACTTTTTTGTAGTATTTGGTCAGAATTTCCCTTGCTGTCTTTTGCACTGGGAAAGGATGAAAGTTCAACAGATCTGCAAGAGAAGTCCAGCTTACTATTCTCTATGGCCATTAATTAGGACCTTTCACCACCCTTCATCTTCTGCTCTTTGGCCTGAACAAGGCAAGTTCTCTTATACCATTTAGCAGTGATCTGCTGGGCTTCCTACTGTTTCTCATTGCATTATACTGGGGAGACCCACACTAGAAACCGTACTCCAGTGTGTTCTCAAAAGTGCTGAATACCAGGGAATAATGCCGCTATTCCCTGTAATGAAGTCTACTTCCTTACTAATACAGCCCAGTCATGCATGCCTGCAGGGCTGTGGTCTTACTGGCATCAGGGAGATGCAGTGGGATGTGATGGACTATGACTGGAGTGTTGACATGGACGGATACAGGCTCTTCAGGAAGGAGAGGCAGGGGAAATCAGGAGGGGGTGTCACCCCCTATGTCAGTAACCATCTGGAGTGCATTGAGCTCTGCCTGGGGATGGATGAGGAGCCGACCAAGAGCTTACGGGTCAGGATCAAAGGGAGGGCAGGGACAGGTGACATTATAGTGGGGGTCTGTTACAGGCCACCTGACCAGGAAGACCAAGCAGATGAGACCCTCTATAGACCGATAGGAGCAGCCTCACATTCACAAGCCCTGGTACTCATGGGATCTTTCAATCACCCTGATACCTGTTAGAGGGACAACACAGCAGGGCGTAAGCGATCCAGGAGGGCACTGATGCTAACTTCCTTCTCCAAGTGATAGAGGTCCAATGAGGAGGGGTGCTATACTGGACCTTGTTCTCAACAATAAGCAGGGGCTGGTGGGGAGGGTGAAGCTCAAGGGCAGCCTTGTCTGCAGTGACTGTAAAATGGTGGAGTTCAAGATCCTTAAGGCAGTGAGGAGGACACACAGCAAGCTTGTTACCCTGGGCTTTGGGAGAGCAGACCACGGCCTCTTAACGGATCTGCTTGACAAAGCACCATGGGATAAAGCCCTACAGGGAAGAGGAGCCCAAGAAAGTTGGTTTAATATTCAGGGATCATCTCCTCCAAGCTCAGGAGTGATGCGTTCTGACAAAGAGGAAGTCAGGTAAGAATGCCAGGAGGCCTGCATGGATGAACAAGGAGCTCCTGAAGAAGCTCAAACACAAAAAGGAAGTCTACAGAGAGTGGAAGCAAGGGCAAGTAGCCTGGGGGGCGGGGCGGAATACAGAGAAACTGAGCAGCCAGGGATCAGGCTAGGAAAGCCAAAGCCCTGATAGAATTAAACCTGGCCAGGGATGTCAAGGGCAAAAGGAAAGCAGTGATTTTGGAAGTGTTCTAGGCATCACAGAGGATAGCAGGTTTTCACTGTGGGCAAAATACTTTATGTTAGCCATGGATATAGAAGCAAGAAAATGAAATTAGAAATTAGATGTTCTAGTATTGCAAGTGCATCTAGAATACTATGATCAAATCTGGATGCAGGCTCTATGCAAAAGTTGATAATAGGCAAGGTTCAAGAGAAGAGCATAAACAAAATTAAATGCTGATTTGATAAGTCTGTAGACATTTAGCTTAGTAATGTTATATAAAAAAACCCCCACAGAATTGGATGAGGTAGAAGATCTCTCTTCTGCAAAGAGAGAACTCCTGTGTGTCATTTTTCTTTCTTAATCTTTTTTGCTGTGATTTTTGCACCTCACCTGGGCTGTAAGAGTGGAGAGTGCCATTTTACCTTCTGTAATGGAGTGGCAGTTAAAGAATTCTTCGTGCTTAATTTGGCTAGATCTGAATTGCTTCTGGCTAGGGTGAGCCTAGAATGCAAATGTGTTTTAGTGAAACTAAAGATAAAGCAGTATAGCTGCTTAGAACAATAAACTGTTGTGTTGACTAGCCTTAAATGTTGTTTAAAACAAATTCATACTGAAACAATCAATGGTTGGAATTAAACCAAATGGTGTCTCTGTCACGGTTGCCTGCCTTTTGAATAAGTCTCATCTAAATTGCAAGAATACCTCTTAAGCAGCACAAGCAGGAAAATCCAGAGACTTTATGAATATCCATACCTTAAGAGAAACTTTGGTTGGATTTAGCAGTTTAGTCAGTACTGAAAGAGGTGTAAAGAATCCTTCCCTCTCTCCCTGACTGGTAAGTGGTGGTCACTTGTGGTAACTAGCAGGGTTTTTCTTTCTGTCAACTTTACTGCTTTCATAAAGCTTAGAGGTGCCTGTATCTGAAATTAGCATATAGGATCAAAGATGATGAAAGAAATATATATGGGTAGTGTGATATGGTCTCAGATGATTTATTTCTGTAGGAAATCACCCTAAAAAGTATTTGCTCATGTTTGGCTTGGAATTTCAGAAGTGATTTAAAGGGTTTGTTCTTAATTTATTATTTTTCCATGCTGTTTTCTTGAAGACTGGGCCTACTTTATGAAGTAACTTATTTTTAAAATCAGACTATTTAAAAATACTTTTTTATATCAAAGAGAACCTTAGAGTATGAGACCACTTTTCACACAGTTTAGATAGTCTGAAAGGTTTTTAGATGGTAATCTGTTACAGGTTTACTGAAGGTTCAGTATAAAAGCCTGCTAGAAGCAGATAAGTAGAAACCTTGCAACAAAATTGGTGACTCACGTCTTTATCCTTGAATTTAAATCCAAGATATTGATTCTTTCCAACAGAATGTAAACTCAGACACATAAGATTTCTTAGGCTGGATTCATCCTCTGGATGCTTCTCCTGCAGGCAAGCTGTAGGGAAGTAAGTTAATTTTTAATTTTAAAAGAATATAATTCCTTGGAGAAATGATGAATAATGGGAAAGGTAGTATTAATCTGTTTGACTACAATACACAATTTATGACATGGAAAGAAAAATGGTTACAAGAATCTTTATGTTAAAATCAAATAATCCTTTAGTTGGAGACTAAAATTGTAATACCTGCAATTGTATGATCCCGCTGTAAAATTTACTTTGCAGCACTAAATCTTTTGGAATACTATTCAGTCCATTTCAAAAAGAAAGAAAAGCATTGTTCAGATTCTAGAGAAACAAATGCAGAAAATCCATTAATATTTTATTTAACATAAAAGGAAGTTAAAGTAAAAACAAAGACAAATATTTAGGAGTTATTCTTATATCAATTCATGTCACTGCATGTCATTGCAAAGACATTGCTAGCAAAGGCTGTTAATGTCTTGAGTGGATTCTGTCTTTAGTTTTCTGTTATTTTATTTGCAAATAAACTGTCAGCTACCATGAAGGTACAAAGGCAGATATGAAAGGTGTTTCTTGCAGCTAGCAGGTAGATAATCAGGATCTTACTGTCCATCTAGCTTGATCTGATTAATGTCTTCAAGAAGATCTTGATGGTTTTTAATTCTCTGAAAGCTCATACAAAGCCTACTGTAGTCTCACTGACTCCCACTGATCAGTTGGACTCTAATTAACAGTAATAGTCTTGCACTGCTGAAAAATTACAAGTATATTAGTAAAAGAAATAATGAGGCTTCTTCCTGGCTGTCATTTTTATGATCACAAGTCCTATAAAAAATGAAGCTATTTCACAATAAAATTGTAGAATAGAATGGATATGTGAAAACAGATGCAATATCATGTTTTTATGATTCTTCAAAGGGTTAAAAATAGTTTTAGGTTTCAAATGAGTTCTAAGCAGATCTAAGTATTGAAAAAAGGTTTCTCTTGAGTCTCTGGTAATTTCTGCAACTTCTGTTCTCATGACTTGCCAGTGATATTCTACCAGAATTAAGAAATTGAAAATATCATTTGTATATGGTATTTCAAATGTAAAGAATTGCCTTCAGGGCACTGTTTTATTGGTTTTACATTCCTTACTGCTGTGTTAAATCTAATGAGGCTTGTCTGTCCTTTAGGTGACCTACAAGCGGGATCTGTATGCAGCTGAATCGATTATTAAGGGTATGTGTTCGTCCTTGTGGCTGTCAGTTTGCATATTCCTAAGTCTAATCAAGAATCTTGTGTGCTGTAGTTTTAAACGTCTTTAAGAAAAGTTTTATGATAAATAAAATGTGCTTAGGTAAGTTGTTCTAGCTTGTTCACTGGAATACTTACATTATGCATTATTTATTTACTTCTCTTAGAATAGAGAACCTTATAAAAAGCTGTGTATATTACAAATGGATTAATTTTGAACGGCTTTACAAGGAATAAACACTTTTTTTTTTCTTTTATTTGCAGTTGAATTTTGAATATGTTCCATCTTTGTAATCGAAGTAGTGACTGAAAATGAAATATTTATTCTTTAGGTCTCTTCACTCTTTTACATACAGCAGCTTGTTACCTAAATTGATATAGCAATTATATGTTATTGGTGAGGTATTCCATTAATTTATAAATACTTTGTTGAACTGGTTTTTAAACTTTACTGATAACAGTGGTGTCATAGCAGTTTAACATAAAGACTAGATTTAATCTTTAGCTAGATTGACTCAATTTAAAAACAGTGGAGAAAGGAAGAACTCTTAAGTTGTGTAATGAGCACACTAATTGTTACTGTAACTGATAGGCACTGATTCAGGGGACTCTTGCTTGACTCCTTGTTGAGAAGTGAGGGATAAAAGCCCAGAAACTGAAGAAGAGAAAGGGACTTCCACTTGGGTTAAAAATATCTTTTCAGAGAAAAAAAGTGTGGTTCCTATTTAAGAAAAACTGAGCAAATTTCATATCCTGTTAGGGCATGGTGAGTGACTGTCTAGTTGTTCACTTTAGTGGCTCATATGTTGTTACAAGATCCAGTATGGGCTTAGCTTCTGGTTTGGGTAAATTAAACCATGCCGAGATCAGTTCTGTCACTGTAGACAAGCTAGAAAGCTTTAACAGAGCTCAGATATCGCTGTGGTATTCTTCATGCTGCTTCTCTAGATCTCCAGGAATGTAACAAGTTTGAAGTTTCTGGTTGTAACAGTGAGCAAATATTACATATTATATGCATTGCTAGAACTACCTGACTGAATTTTTCAGGCACTTATCAAGGAGTTAGGGCTGGGAAACCTTGGAAGTTCTGGTTTTGACAGGGGGTGGGCTCTCATCTCCACAGCTGGAGGCCTGGAATTTTTGCAAATCTTGTTTTGAGTAGGATTCTTAGAGGTTCCACACTCTTCTAGATTTCAACTTTAGGATTTCCAAGCATATTAAAGACAAGAGGGTGGCTGGGAGTAGTTGGCATGAATTTACAAAGGGGAAGTTATACCTGACCAACCTGATAGCCTTACACAGTGAAATGACTAGCTTGATGGATGAGAGGAGAGCAGTGGATATCGTTTGTTTTGATTTCAGCAAGACTTTTGACGCTTATCTCCCATGACACTCATTGACAAACTGAAGTACATACTAGAGAAGTGGACAGTGAGGTGGATTGAAAACTGACAGGCTCAAACAGTAAAGCCCAGCTGGAGCCTGGTCACTAGTGGTCTATCACTACCTAGGGGTCAATGCTGGTTAAAGTCTTCACTAATGATCTGAATGGTAGAGCAGAGCATACCCACAGCAGGTCTGCAGATGGTGTAAAGTTGGGAGGAGAAGTTGATAGACCAGGTGGTTGTGCTGCCATTCAGAGAACCTTGGCAAGCTGGAGAAATGGGTGAACAGGAGTCTCAGGAAATTCACAAGAAGAAATGCAAACTCTTGCACTTGTGAAGCCCCGTTATAGGCTGGGGTCTGACCAGCTGGAAAGCAGCTCTGTAGAAAAGGCCCTGGGTCGTTCTGGTGGAAGACAAATTGAACAGGAGCTGGCAGTGCGTCCTAATGGCAAAGATGGCCAACGGCGCCCTGGGCTGTGGTAGGCCGAGCATTGCCAGCAGGTCAAGGGACGTGATCCTTCCCCTCTGCTCAGCACTGGAGTGTTGGGTCACATCTGGAGTGCTGGGTCCGATTCTGGGCTTCCTTGTGCAGGAGAGACATGGTCATACTGAATTTTGTCGAGCAAGGGGCCATGATGATGATTAAGGTAGTGGAGCATCTGTCACATGAGGAGATGCTGCGAGAGCCTGGACTGTGATGCCTGGAGAAGAGAGGGCTCAGGGGGATCTTAGGAATGTGTATAAATGCCAGGTGGGGACAAGTGAAGAAGGTGGATCCAGACTCTCTCCAAAAAGAGAACAGACAACGGACACAAACTGAAATACAGAAAATTCCATTTACACATCTGGAAAGCCCAGAAATTCTTAGGATTCTCAGGTTTTTTATTACAAAGCTGGGAGGTTGGAAGGGAGACTGTCTGTCCTTGATTTCCTAGGAATCATTCGTTCAGCTTAGATTGCCAGTATGAACATCTCTTGGCTTATAAATGCCATTTTTCACCAACTTTTATTGAATATACTGAAAATAATATTGCATCTCATAAATTACTTGGGTTAATATTTTCAGAACAGTATATTTAATTATTTGAGCTTATGGGAAGCTCTGAAAATGGGTTCGTGATCTGACTTAAACTGGAAAAATATTTTTAAAAGATGCGGTTTCTCAATTTTGGCCACTGATTTTTTGATAGCTATTGGGTATTTACAAACCTTATGCAAACAGAATTCATTCTGTCATGGAGTTTTTCACAAATAAAAGTAGATTAAGAAGTTCTTCAGTTGGCCCAGTGATTATCAAATTTTTTTTTGTTTTTTAATTTTCTGAAATTCTTAGGCTCTTGGAAAAGTATGTGGTAGTTTTAATTTAATTTTATGTGATCTTTCCTTGGATAAAACAATTCAGTTTGAATATAAATTTTAGAAGCTCAAATATTGTTATTGTCGTTGTCATATGAACAAAATGATTTATAACACAAAAAAATAGTGGAATGAATCAGTTTGCAAAAGAGGGATTTCATGGTACAGTATGATATAAAACTAAGCAATGATTTTATCTCCTTGATGAATAGGAATTGAAACTAATACTTAACCTTGAATGATAGATCAGTGGAAAAAAGGGAAGCTTCCAATCTTTGAGAAGTGTAAAAGTAATTATGTAAAAAAATTAGGTTCTGTTTTTCCCGTCTAAATATAGATCCCATTACATGGTTCTCACTGAATGCCTAATTCTAATAGGGTATATGCATGCTTTTACAGTACAGACTTCTTTTAAGTATTTTGTGTAATTTTAAGTATTACCTATATAGGAGAGATTGTCACAGAAAAATTCTCTCTGATGGTAACATTTATAAGGAAATGTGGAAAACTGTTTCAGCTGCTTGGATGTACTGTTTTGTTATAATATTTGTAAATATTTGCTGTAACAAGAATTGTTGTACTTCTGTCAGTCAAGTTTGATGAAGCCAGTAATGCCATCATAAAATGATGTAAATATCATGGGTCAGCTCAATGAATGTACTATGTTGATCTTATCTTGACAAAAGGTTCAATATTCAACTTGAAAAAAATTTCAGCAAACTCATAGTTCTATGTTAACTTTGGTCTTATTTTTCTTTTCCTGTGTACTTTTCGTATTTATTTACCATGTATGTTTTCAATATTTAATGTCAATTTATCAGTCATTATTAGATCAAGTAGATTCACTTTCATTTCCATTTTCCTTGAACTTAACTGTAGACTGTAGTTCTTTTATAATACAAAGGCCAATTTATTGAACTGTATCATTCAATATTACTCAAATATTTAATTCAGAGGAACTTCAGGATGTAATGAGGGTGTGCAAACTTTAAAGGAAAAGAAAAATCAAAACCAGTGATGATTTATATTTTTAAAAGGTTCTTGTTCATCTTCTTGCAGTATATTCGATCCTTTACCAGGTACATTTTTCTGCAGTGGGCAAGGAGAAAGCCAGATGGACACCTTACGTAAAATATGTTGCTTATGTAGCTAGAGAAGGAGACAACACCCTCCTCCCATCATCCAGATGTCCACTTTGCTTATGCTTCCTTCCCCTCATACCCCCTTCATTACAGAGCAGCCCTTGTGAAGGTGGGAACTGAGTCATCATGCTCTTTGTTGGGAAACTAGAAAAGAATACAGTATGAAAAAATTATTTCTGTGCTCTCCATCTACTGCCCTCTCATCCTTATAAAGGTGACTCCTTGTATTCTTTTAATCAGCACTATCCTTTCTTCTTTATATTTAAAAGAATATTTTTAAATATTTTGCTTAAAAAATGTTTTTATAGTATTTTATGCTAATTTTATGTAATACATACACACTATTATTTTGTACAAAAAACCCCCACAAACCTGAAACAATACTGCAACCTTCATGCAAATTAATTCCCATGTTCCTGTGTATATGAGGGCTTCGATAATCTCATAGATCATTAAAGGAAAATTAGTTGTAATTTATTTAAAAAACTAGATCCATTCCAGGCAGCTTTCTCTAAAACTCCTTGAGTTGAAAATGAGGATGCAGCTTATTCAAATGAAAGGAACATTCACTAAGTTTAACTATTTCTATTTATAACTGGAGCAAAAGTGCTGTAAATGACCAGTCATTCGCTTCATAGATACATATTTTACATGTGTATTTCATCATGTTATGACATTTTTTGTTTTCACTAAAGCCAATACAATCTTTTCCAGCTATTGGTTTTGATAAAAAGTATATGATCTAACTTAAAGTAAAAACGAAGACCTCCATGGTGGTAAATCAGGCTCACATGACTTATTTTTGTAGTGGACAGTTGACCCATGTAAATTAATATTAGGCAAACATTTTATCCACAGTTCACTCCACAATTGAAAGCATATTTAAGGGGAGAATATATTTTTCCCCTATTGAGCATCATCCTGTTGTACCCCCGGTGTTGCATCATTCAATCTCATGGTTGTTAGTTTTGCAGAAGAAATCTTAATAGCCACGTTGTGCTGTGTTGCGCTGTGATTATGGGAAACCTTCAAGCATAAGTCACCTTCCAGAATGGCGACCATCCTGCAAGCCAAGGCATGCTCAGTTAGGCCTTTCCTACTA